TTTCCGTGCCTTGGCCCTTCACTTGGTCAGATTATCAATGGGAGCCTCAGCACAGGTGTGGTCCCAGCTGCTTTGAAAGCAGCAGTTATTCGGCCGACCCTGAAGAAACCTGGTGCTGATGTCTCTGTGATAGAAAATTACAGGCCTATCTCTACCCTGCCCTTTACATCTAAACTGCTTGAGAAAGTTGTTTATCAGCAGCTGGTCTCACATTTAGCTGACTCTGATCTGTTTGAGGTTTTCCAATCAGGGTTCAGGTCTGGCCATAGCACAGAGTCTGCTCTACTGAGGGTCCTAAATGACATCTATCTATCACTAGATCAGGGAACATCTGTGCTGCTTCTGTTGTTAGACCTGACAGCAGCCTTCGACACAGTTGACCACGCGATTCTACTCGATCGCTTGGAACGATGGGTTGGGATCAAAGGGTCAGCTCTGGATTGGTTTAGATCGTATCTCCACAACAGGACATTCTGTGTTAAACTGGGTGATGTTTTTTCTTCTTGGGAGGGGCTCCGCTGGGGGGTCCCGCAGGGGTCGATCCTTGGTCCACTTTTGTTTGCCATTTATCTGCTACCTCTGGGGTCAATCTTTCGTAAACATGGCCTATCATTCCATCTGTATGCTGACGATTGCCAGATTTACTCTCCATTGTGTCAGGAGAAAGGTCACTCTATTCAGTCCTTTGTCTCCTGTGTTAATGAGGTGAAGTCTTGGCTAATGTCCAACTATCTACATCTGAATGAGGGAAAGACAGAGCTCATTGTTTTTCACCCCAACAGCAGGAATGTGGATCGTTATGCTGATCTTGGCCCTCTTTCTCCGTACTCAAAACCAGTTGTTACCAGTTTGGGGGTGAAACTTGATGTAGGACTTAAATTTGATGCTCACATCAATTCTGTGATCCGGTCCAGTTTCTTTCACCTGAGACGCCTTGCTAAAATCAAGCATATGCTGTCGAGAGCCCACCTGGAGCGGGTACTGCATGCCTTTGTTATTTCTCGGCTTGATTACTGCAACTCTCTATATGCAGGGTTGTGTCAGTCAACACTGCGTCGCCTACAGGTTGTGCGGAACAGCGCTGCCAGGTTCCTGACTGGGACCAGGAAACGGGACCACATCAGTCCAGTTCTGGCCTCCCTGCACTGGCTTCCGATTTGCTATCGCTCACAATTCAAAATACTCGTCTTTGTTTATCATTTCTTCCAGGGTGGTGGTCCCCCCCTATCTGGCCACTCTCCTGAACAAACATTCCCCATCACGCGCTCTGCGCTCCTCTGACCAAGGCCTGCTCGCTGTCCCTCGGTCTAGGTGTCGTACCCGTGGGGACCGGGCTTTCTCAGTCCTAGCACCGTTACTCTGGAACCAGTTGCCACCCTCAGTTAGGCTGTCCCCTTCTCTGCCAGCCTTTAAGAATCACCTAAAAACACACCTCCTCCGCTTGGCGTTTCCAGAACATGTTTGATTTTGGCCCTCTTTTATGTTGAATCCATTCCACAGTTTTCATTGGTACACTCAATCCATCCACTCAATCCAAATGTGTTTCACACTTTTGTCCTTTACCGGACTGTTTCATCTATCTTGTAATTTCCATTTTGTACTTTGTAATTTGTATTTTCTAATTTGAATTTCTTTTATTGTTGATTTATTCAATATATTTACTTAACTGTACCATGTTCAGCGCTTTGGGCTTCCTGACAGGGTTGCGGAAGGCGCTTTATAAATAAAGCTTTGATTGATTTGATTGATTGAACTAACGCAGCACTAGCTGACAGACAGCATTACAGCGTGAAATCCAGCTTTACACCACAGCGTGACCCGGTTCTGTGAGGAATTCTGTTCAGGAGGTCGCATTTCAGGCTTTCTTCACATCATATGTGACTTTTACGTTATAATAGCGATCACACACTAGGAATGTTATAAAGTGCCTATATAGGACAGTTTCTTTTGTATATTATCTGACTTTATAAACTCCAACAACAATGTGCTTCTATTTTTTGTCAGGCTAAATCTACCCAAGACATTGGCTGTCAGACTGATTTAGCTGCAAGAATGCACTTGTCCAGGCTAATGTGAAGCCTTACCCATAGCAAAGGTGAATTATTTTTAATAATCGTCTATGTAAACATTCTATTATCACCTTCTAGTTTTAATTTGTTTTACGGATTATTGTTACACGTGATTTTATGCTCTTTTAAACATTTATGAATGTGCTGTTTCTTTGTGTTTTACATAGTCAGCCAGTTTAGAGCTCCCAGCCGCAGAGTGTCTTGTGACACAGGGACCATGATGGAAATTCATCTTCCAGAAAGTCCCAGAGCAGCGTCCACACCCCCTGAAAAGACCAAGATGTGAGGTGTCTGCTGTTGATTCCAGCTTCCACCTCAGTGACAGTGCAAGCTCAGTGAACTGTTCAAGGTAAAAAAATTTTAAACATTTCAGAATTTTTAAGATATTAACAATTAAATAAGTATGTGATTACATCATGACATCATGAAGGAGGCTACTGATTCTGGCCCTGTGACACTTGGTGGTGACGTGTGAGCTGATTCACCTGGTAAATAACTTTTACATTAAATATTTTGTTTTTGCTATCAAAAGTAAATTAACTAATAACCTGCATTATTGCAGGACACTCAGCAAAATATGGACTCTACACCATGAGGCAGGCACACATTAATACTCTATAAGAGCACATAAGGTGAGCAACACCACATATTACTATTGTTATTACTGTACACTGTCCTGGATTTGTTTTCTTTATGCATCTCATCATTAGCCTGGCTGATCACCTGATAACTCCTGTCATCTGGTTGTGACAGCATGAGGATGTCCTCACACACCTGTAACCTATCAGCTCATCAGGCAGAATAGAGAGAGAAGAGACAACACCACATCTCCTGTTCCTGGAAAGCCTTCAGCCATCCTTCGATGACTGAGAACCTCCATCAGCTCTGTCTCCTGTCTGCCTACAATTATTATAATAAATATTGTGTTTGACAAGTTTTTTGTGCTGCCAAATATCTCATTTTGACTCCAGTTTTGATATTTTAATGGATTTTTATAAATTACATTAATTGAATTATCACATTGTTGCATGTTTAACTAGCTCTATTGTGATGAATTAAACTAGCACCTCACTGTCAAAAGCTCATTTTAATTTCAAGCATGTTTACGTATTTATGGACATGAACAAAAACAGGAAATATATAAATTGAGATTTATTTAATTAATATAACAATTAACTGTTTAGAGGAGGAAAGAGTCATTGAAAGGCACATTCTTCTGGAAGCTCCTGATCCTGACCACACCACCAGAAGAGACCAGCTGCAGACACCAGAGGATCACCTACGACCAAGAGAGCTGCTGGTATCAGTGAATAAATAATGAAATCAGGGCAGTTTCAGTGGGCTGAACACATTACAGAATAATTTTCTCATGGGGTAGCTTCATAACTTTCTATGCAGCAGACTGTAACTTGAGTCCAGGGCTACCGGAGAGCTGCTATCCAGCACGTTTCAGTGGTTTTCCTGCTTAAACAGGTTAGATTAGCTGTTCAGCAGCTCAGCTATTTGTTGCTGATTAAAACCAGGTGTGTTGAAGCAGATAAACCTCTAAAACATGCTATGGCTAACGGCTACTTACCATTCAGAGCTGATTCTGTTGGGTCGGTTCCGCTAGTTTCAGGCAACTCACAAGCTCAAAACAATAAGGCTCAGGTCCGCTTGTCTCCTCCAATAAGACTTGGTCCCTTTCTTCTCGAGTGTCTGGGTAAGGAGGGGGAGAAACATCCTCCACTTCTACTAACTGCTCAGAGTGAAGGGAGCTAGCATCGTCTAGTTAGCCATCGTCTTCGTCACTGCCGCGGCTCCGCCCTCTCGGTCGTCCAGGCAACGCCTACTAATGTTGCAGTTTTTAAAATTGATACGTGGGTGGAGAAGTACTCTGAGGCACACGTTGCCCGCTCTTTCAGGTATCTACGCCCAGCAGGGCTCTGAGATCCTTAGGAAACAGTCAGCTGGTAGAACCGGGTCAGAACCAAACAAGATGAAGCTGCTTTTAGCTACTATGCTGCTCACAGATGGAATCGGCTTCCTCATGACCTCAAATGTGTTCCAACTCTAGAAACTTTTACATCAGAATTGAAAACATTCACGTTGTCATCAGCCTTTGGATGAATGTTCTTATGCTGCACCTTCTGCTCTGTAACTGCTCACCCTTTAACTTTGTTTCTTTACATTTTTCAATTGTATTTTCTGTCACATTGATCTTAATGTTCTTGCTAATGGAAAGCACATTGAATTGACTGTGTGCGAAATGTGCTATAGAACTAAAGTTGCCTTGCCAATTTACTGGCCTATCTACATTGCGACCCACATCTATAGTCATGAGCTTCGGGTAGTGATTGAGAGATTGGGATTGTGGAAGCAAATGGCCAAAATGAGTTTTCTCCACAGGGTGTCTGGGTTCCTTAGGTTGGGACTATATTTGTCAGCTGGCCAGGAAACGCCTCAGGATTCCCCCAGAGGAGCTGGCCCAAGTGGCTGGGGAGATGAGCTCTACTTAGAGCTGCTGGCTATGCGACCCAACCCCAGATAAGCAGATAAAAACAGATGGACAGCTCTTATTTGGAACTCTGTGGGAAGAGTGCTCACCTTTAAATCAAAAGGTTGGTCCTTTGTCCAGATCCCACACAGCCCCTTTCCTGATATGGTGTGAATATGTGTGTATGAGTGGGTGAATATGTTTCATAGTGTGAAGTAGTTTGATGGTAAGCAAGAGTAGAAACTAGCCATGAAACTCCAGTCTGTTTACCATTCATCTCTGACCTAAATAAGATGAGTTACTCTACATGATCTAGCAAGTGGAAACCCGAGCAAGCTTTTCCTTTGAAACACAATAAAAGAGAGATATTTATATGTACAGTTACTGGTAATTTACTGTAAGAATCTTTCTGCAGCATTGTGATTGTGGATGATTTAAGAGTGAAGCAAGCGAACCTGGACAGAGTCCCGTGTTGCAGCTCTGGCTCTGTGTCTGCTGACTCCTACAACCACGCCCTGGAGGAGAGGCCAAGGGCCTCCTGTAGCGATGCCTGACTCCACCACTGCATGGCTCTGTGCATGCGGACCAAACACTCCACACACTCCAGTGGCACAGATCTGAAAGAGCATAGTAATTAAAACACAACAATAAACTCTGACTTCATCCTATTTGCTTTAGTGATAATTGGAACACATTTTAATTGTGCAAAGAGAATAATTCCCTTCCAGTGGATTCACAGCGTACGTACTCGGAGACATCACTGCCCCGTCTGGCCTGGCTGAAAATTTATCAGATTATGCCTGTAAAGGACACTGAACATGATGCGTACAAACACCTGGCATCAGGGCTGGACTGGGACAAAAATTCAGCCCGGGCATTTTGACTGGAGACCGGCCCATCACCTGGTTTTTTTGGAAAAGACATTAAGCCTTACGCTGTTTTTGACACACACCAACGTACACTTTCTTGTTGGTAATATTTATGTATCAATCTAATATACATAAACCTACACCATCCTTCCTATCCTGGTATTCTAAAAAGAACTTAGTAAAAAGGAAAAAAGACAACTTGATTAAGGTAACACCCCAAACAATCTCTAACACTTGGTAGCAACCTGACATTCAGGCCCTGTCCACACGTAGCCGGGGATCTGCCAAAACGTAGATATTTTTCTACATTTTGGCCTGTCATCCACACGAAAACAGAGTTTTTTCACACGAAAACGGATCACGTGTGCGACCTGTGTTTACACTAGCCGACAGCATGGATGCCCTCAGAGCTGCGCTCGCTTTATCAAGTGTCCAAGCGCTTTTTGCTTGTTTGTTTTTGAAAGCGGAAATACTGCTCCTTGTGGAAGACCACAGACGAAGGACGAGGTTAAGAACGGGGGAAGTACTGCCGCCTACAGGTCTGGCATGTCCTTAACAACGTATTTATCTGGGTATGTGTGGACAGAGTTTTATTTTTAAACGAGGTGGTGTGGATGCAAGTTTTTGGAGGGGCAGATATTCGTTTTTAAAAAAAAACTGGCTACGTGTGGACTAGGCCTAAGACAGAGAGAACTATTAATCAATAATGAATATTAATATAAAAAAAGACATTTATGGAAATTTTCATTAACTGTTTTATCACCACACTAACTAGGAAATATTTTTACAATACATTTAAAAAAGAAAGGAGACAGAGAAAGGTGAGATAAAATAACTTAATTGACCATTTGAGGTCTTTTTAGAGTTTGTACTGGTGCAGTATCTATAAAATGTGGGGAAAATGCTGACATCATATACATTATTTACTTCTGTAACTATTTGTTAATATGTTGTTAATACGAGATGCAGTATTTATAGCTATCCTGTTAGGGTGTGTAATTGTTGGACGGAATCTTTAACAAAACACATAATTAATAAATTATTTGTGTATGATTGTGTGCATTTAGAATATCTATATTAAAGTCTCCACAAACACTAACTTATGATTATTTGTATTTAATTATACTGTACATTTCTGAACATTTGTTCTGAAAAATAATTCATTATTAATAATTAATTCTGAAATATTTTTTTACAAATTAAATTCTTACCTTCTTAACTAAATATTTAACTTTAAGTTAATATTTATCATCCAAACTAAATATTTAACTTTTTAACTAAATATTTTGATTGCAAACTAAATATTTACCTTCTTAAATATATATTTAGCATCCAAACGAAATATTTAACTATTTAACTAAATATTTTGTTTACAAACCAAATATGTATCTTCTTCAGGGCCGTGCAGAGACCTTTGACGGGGCGGGTGCTCAAAGTAAAAAAAAAAAAAGGGGCACTTATAGAGCAATCCAACAAGTTAGAAAATTCAGATAATGAGACCCTTGGGTTCAAACAACATAATAAAAATATATCAGTTAGTGTCATTAGTGTTAATGTTAGTTCATAAATAACAGTTTTAGTTTATAAAGCTGACTTATATCTAGAGATGTTACAACCACATTTTTGACCCTGATCCGAGTCCAAGTTGTTTGATTTTTGATTATCTTCCAATACTGAGTCCTGTTCTGATACCAGGTGGTGATGCAACGCATTATAAAAGAAGAAAGAAGTCGTCCTTCTGTCTGTATTTGTCATTTTGTTGTTTTAGCCTGAAAAGGTCACTCATTCAGGAAGTACTTTTAACAGGAATCAAGATAATTTATTGCTATTGCACAGGTGTACAACCAAAGATATTTTGTGCTTACTAAAGACAGCTCTAGTAAGAGGTAGTAAAATAAATGTAAAATAAATGCACCACAGAGACTTATCCAGTGTGATCTACAGCTATGTTAGCTGAGATCTTTTTCCTGTCAGTAGAAAATTCTTGATCCAATTTCATGATCTCACTGAACTTAACACTAAACATGAGAGCTCTGCTACCAACCTAACAACAACACCCTTTACACAAAGGCACCATCATCACATACGTGGCAGGAGTCTCAGTGAAACTTAGAAGAATCTTCTCCAAACACAACATCCCGGTAAACCTCCCCTTTTGGCACAAAAACTTATAATTGGAGCCTATGGACACGAATTGTCCAGTTTATAAATTGATGGGTCCTTCACAGGGTTCAGAGCCCTGTTTCTGTGACATATGTCAGTCAGAGCTACACAAAGGTCTCGATTTACACTACATTCCTACCCTCACCTATGGTCATGAGCTTTGGGTAGTGACCGAAAGAATGAGATCGCGGATACAAGCGGCCAAAATGAGTTTTTTCCGCAGGGTGGCTGGGCTCTCTCTTAGCGATGGGGTGAGAACATCGACATAAATATACTGGACAATTCCTTTCCATAGGCTCCAATATCACGTTTTTGAGGCCAAATGCGAGGTGGCCACCACCGCCATTTTGACCGTGTCACAGGTTCCGTCAAACCCAGACAATTCCAAAAAAGGGAAGAGAGGAGGAGCTGAGGGTGGGGCTGTAAGGTTGGGATCAACTGACGACACCCGGTCGAACTAGCTACAAGCTAACCTGAAGCTAACCCAAAGCTAATGCGGAGGTGGAGCTAAGCTAACGGAGGTAGCAACCTATCTACAATCGGAGTTAACTGTGCACAACATCAGAGCTTCTGAGTCAGACATACGCCGGGCTGACCGCTGGGTAAAACCTGGTGGAACACAGAGGTCTCCGAGACCTCCACAAGCCGGCAACCGCACAGCAGACAAGCGCCGCTGCGATCTGAGATACGCAGAGCTGCTGCTGGGGAAAACCGAGTGGAAAGGTTTCCATCCCAGAGCTCCACAAGCCGGCAGCCCGCGCAGCAAACAGAAGCCGCGATTAGACAGAGATGCACCGAGCTGATGCCTATCTCCAGCGGTCAATGGGAAATCAGGCGGGGTACACCCTGGACAGAGAGCCAGTCCATCGCAGGACAACACAGAGACACACACACACACACTCACACCTAAGGACAATTTAGGCAGACCAATCAACCTAACAGCCATGTTTTTGGACTGTGGGAGGAAGCCTGAGTGCCCGGAGAGAACCCACGCATGCACAGGGAGAACATGCAAACTCCATGCAGAAAGGTCCCAGGCCGGGAAGTGAATCCAGCACCTTCTTGCTGCAAGGCAACAGCTCTAACTACTGCGCCACTGCGCAGCCTGTGGCCACAACATATACCAATTATTGCTTCTATGGTTACATTGTGATTTCTTAGTAAATATTCTATTTGTTGAGATATAAACTTTATTGTATTTGTCCTAGTGAATCTATAATTAAACGGGTAAACTAGTAGTAGCACATTCAATGTCAAAGAGAGTAAAATGTTATTATCAGGAGAGGGAGAATGTTGAAGTGGTTGGCAGCAGGTGTGCAGTTTGTATATATATTGTCAGTTTGTAAATATATATTATGAAGAAGAAGAAGAAGAAGAAGAAGAAGAAAAGATCATTTCTATAGCACCTCTCAAGATAAAAATCATGAAATCAAAAAATGTAAAAATATAAAAAAGAATTTAGAAAATGCTTAAAAATATATTTAAAATGAGCCAAAAATAGACAATTATGATTAAAAATGTAAAGAAAGACAGTGAATAGGAAAGAGGGGAATCAGTGGATCCTGAGGAAGGTGGAATAGGTGGGGAGAGCAGAACAAGGAGAGGGTAATGAAGGTCACACCAAAACCAACTTGAACAAGTGAGTCTTCAGCTGCTTTTTAAAGGAGACCACTGAGTCCACTGATCTCAGGCTCGGGGGAGAGAGTTCCACAGTCTGGGGGCCACAGCAGCAAATGATCTGTCACCTTTGTTCTTTAGCCTGGTGCTGCACAACCAGTAGGCTTTGATCACTGGACCTCAGGGGCCTGCTGGGGGTGTAGGGACTAAGAAGATCACCAATGTAAGATGGTGCTTGTCCATGTAAGGCCCTATAGACCAGAACCAGGATCTTGATTATGTTCCCCATAGTACCTACGTTTTACCAAGTGAATCAACTGAAAGGGAACGTTAGGGCAAGTTTCTAAGCTCTGTTCCAGAAGACAAACCAGGTACTATGTAGGGCTACCCTCATCTCAGCATTGCTTGGTAAAGAGCAGCTATCAGACTGGGAACTAGCAGTTGACAGTGATGTTTATAGGTGCTGGGTGGGGTCACCAGCTGGTGTTAAACTCATTTGCCTTCACAGCTGTTATTAGATGTTTCTTCAGCCAGGCCATACAAGGGCGTCATGTCCATTAGTACCTACACTGTACCTCATTCCTCTTTTTCTGGGAACAGTGGTTGTATCCTTCATGATATGACCTAAACTATCTAAGTGAAATTCTGTGTGTTTTCCAGACTGAACGATTATTCAGGGACTCTTCACCAGAAGAGCTAGACTACAACATTTGATCTTATTGTCTGTGGTATTCATCTCTGCTGGCAGCAGATGTATTTAGATGTTGAAGCTAGAAGTCTAGATTTCAGTCAACAGTTTCTTTATTATATTAGTGTAACATTTATCTTCTTTTGCATAAGCTGCATAAACTAATCTTTCCTGTAAATCTTTTCAGTATACAAACTTAATTTTTTTAACATGAATCAAATCAAGCTCATACTATAAAGGTTTACTACTTTCCTTATCATCTCCCCAGTGAGACGCATCTAAGTGATCAAAAATCCTGCTTTCTCTTCTATTTACTCAAAACATTTCTCCTTCAGCAGCCAACCAAAACACCAGTTACCTCTACAGATGTTAGCATCTGGACAGAGTCTCCTTTCAACCAGCGGTCCTGAGCAGTGGCTTTCTTCTTCTCCTGGGATGAGAAATCCAGAATCTAGGTCCAAGCAGGCACGATAACGTTTCTGCACTGAAACCATTTCAGTGCGACTGATGGTTTCTTCCAGCAGAGTACCAAAGAGTTCAGAGGTAAAAGATGTGCAGGGAGAGCAGGGAGTCCATTCCGTCCATTCACTGAGGATTACTGGCGGGAATGAAGAGGAGAGGAAAAGCAAACATCAACAGGGAGCATCAGAGCTGTTCTTACTTTCCAAATAAATGTATACTCTCTTACCTTCGCACTCTCTCATATCACAATGCAAACTCCCTCCATGACAAAGGCTTGAGAGGAGAGAACATTGTTTAAACTACTATACCAACAGGTGGTTTTGGCAGAAATTATTTCAAATGCAGCACAAATACAAAAAAAATATAGCAAGCTAGCTCTCTGGGTCTTTTAAAATGTTTGACTGAAATGCTGCAAAACCCATTAAGCTTGGCTCTAACCATGTACTACAGTCAACAGTGACTGTGGCACCCTGAGGGATAGTGATAGGAGTGGGTGGTTGTTCTGAATCATGGTGCTGCAGGTAGATGCATCCACATGCTTTCTGGGGAACACAGCTACCATTCTGCTGAAGCAAGTCCTGCAGAGAAAAGCACAGGATTTCTCTGCTTTTATACTAATTATTCAAAAAGGGAACAAGTACAAATAACACACATGTAGACATAAATAGAAAATTGACATATAAAATAACTCTAGAAGATTTCACTATCTATTCCCAGATTCACCAGGAGCACGATACAATTTTTGCTCCCCTTCGTGGTTGGTAATTTGCTTTGGTTACCTGAAGAACTATCTAAAGATGGACTTTTCTATCACCAAATAACAAACCTGCAAGATAATTACATGTAGGTTAACAACAATCATTTGGGTGTAGTTTGATGTGAAGTGCATCATGCATGTGTTATTCAGGGCCTACTATCTGTCAGAGACTGGAGCTAAAGTGATATAAACCAGTGACCACAGGATTGTGTTGGGTGCCTTTGTGTGATGAAACGAAGCAAGTTTAGTGCAGTTGTGACCTCATCTGTAGGGGTTATTATAGTTTTAAAGGTTTGTAGGGGGCGCTGTGGTGAAATTAGACCACATTTACCAACTGTTTGTGCCTGTTTGAAGGGCTGTACTGTTTCTCGCCATGTTGTCTTGTCCAGATAAGAAAAGTGTTTGTGGAAGTTACAGTCAAACGTAAGGTGACGGCATCCAGCCAGAATTGGCCATGGAATCAAAGCTCCTCCATTCTGGAAAGCTTTCAGAACTGAAGTTGTCATTACACCAGCATGTAGGCAGTCGGAATCTCTCATAAAGTGACGCCAAACAACCCCCATTTATCTTCAGTTACTAGCTCCAAAGTTATGACGATTAAGTGAAATGGGGCGATTTGGGACCTTTCACAGTAAAACTTGACCTTTTTGGTCCTAAGGGGGTGGGTCTTGTTTGACATCATCATTCAACCATTTAATTTTCTTCGGGGGCAGATGTGTAATGACTATAAAAAATGTTGTTACTTAATTCCTTTCAGTTATGAAATGATAACCATGTATATTTTTTGGGTGAGTGGTCAAATTTAGAGGTCTGGCCCTATCCCTTGAACATATCCAAAAAACTCAGTTTCTTTGTCTCATTTGATCGTCCATCTCTTCTCAGCAATCACATACAATTTTCGAGACAATCATGCCAAAAATGACTGAGTAGTTCAATCAAATGCGGACCCTACAAACAGCCAAAACGGGGTGCAAATCACTACTTAAATCCAAAATGGCTGACTTCCTGTATCCTATGCGGACTGCTGAGAGCTACAAGTGTGCAAAATTTCATAACTGTGCTATACAAAAAGGTAAATGAGGGGCTGATTTTTCACATTCTAGGGGTCACTGTTGTGCCATTTTTAATGTGATTTTTTTTTGGGAACTTTTAAAACATAATCTAAGGAGCTTTGAAAGAAAATCATCTGGACTTCTTTGAGTTGCTTGAAGACGTTTCACCTCTCATCCGAGAGGCTTCTTCAGTTCTAAGGTCAAATGGTGGAGAGTCCCAGATTCAAACCCAGTGGGCGTTTCCCCCCGAAGAGGGAACAAAAGACCCCCTGATGATCTTCTACATAAACACATGAGCCAAGGTGTGAGGGTGGGTGTGGGTCCTATTCAGCCAGAGTTTCGGGTGAGCTCATTGTGAAGCCTGGCCCCACCCTATCATGTGAATTCCTGAGGTCAGATGGCCCAGGATATGCGTGGGCGTTGAGGCATCTGGGAAGGGATCTCAAAACTGGATTATAGATGGCAGACAGTTGGTGTCGTAAACCACCGCCTCTGTTCAAAGATGGTTACTCACAGTGGACATAAATGGCTTCCTTTACTCCTCTCTCAAACCATCTGTCCTTTCTGTCCAAAATGTGAACGTTGGCATCCTCGAAAGAGTGACCTTTGTCCTTTAGATGCAAATGAACTGCTGAGTCCTGCCCCATGGAGATGGCTCTTCTATGTTGTGCCATGCGCTTGTGAAGTGGCTGTTTGGTTTCTCCGATGTAGAGGTCTGGGCATTCCTCGCTGCACTGTACAGCATACACCACATTGTTCAGTTTGTGTTTAGGAGTTTTGTCTTTCGGGTGAACCAGTTTCTGTCTGAGTGTGTTGCTGGGTCTGAAGTACACTGGTATGTTGTGTTTGGAGAAAACCCTCCTGAGTTTCTCTGATACACCGGCTACATAGGGGATGACAAGGTTGTTGCGTCTGTCTTTCTGATCCTCCCTCGCTGGTGTCTGGTCTTCTTTTCTGTGCACCTTTGCTGACTTTATAAACGCCCAATTAGGATAGCCACATGTTTTAAGTGATTCCTTTACATGTGTGTGTTCCTTCTTTTTCCCTTCCGGCTTAGAGGGAACATGATCTGCCCGGTGGTGTAAGGTCTTGATTACTCCAAGTGTGTGTTCCAGAGGGTGATGTAAGTCGAAGAGGAGGTACTGGTCCGTGTGTGTGGGCTTCCGGTACACTTCAATGTTGAGGTTGCCATTTTCTTCAAAGTGCACAGCGCAGTCAAGGAAAGGCAAGCAGTTGTCCTTTGTGTTTTCCCTGGTGAACTTGATGTTTTTGTCCACAGCGTTGATGTGCGTAGTGAAGGATTCCACTTCTTGTGCTTTGATTTTGACCCAGGTGTCATCCACATATCTGTACCAGTGGCTGGGTGCTCTCCCTTTAAAAGAGCCAAGAGCCTTTCTTTCCACTTCCTCCATGTAAAGGTTGGCTACAATAGGTGAAACGGGGGAGCCCATGGCGCAGCCATGTTTTTGTCTGTAGAAACCTTTGTTGTATTCATTTCATTTCAACTTTCAGTAGTTCAAGCACAGATCAATCAACCTTATTGATTTAAGCACAGATTAATGAAGACATTATTATTATTATGAATGACTAACTCATATAAGCTGAAAACAGCCACTCGTATAACAGTCCAGTCTGGCCTAGATACCCAGGCAGACTTGGCGCAGAAGGACCTTGAGAAGGGAACTGTTTGTTGACACTTTGTTATCATGTGTTCCGAGCTGCAGAGAGGCCCGGGCTCCAGCTGATGGAATAGCAGCATCCGGCAGATTAAAGGCAACACATGTAGACTCCTGTCTCCATGCAGACCAGATACTGAAGGGGTCAAACTGTACATGAAAACTGACCATTTCTGGACATTACACAGACAAACGTAGTTCCATGGCGTGCAGTGCACTGCCATGCCACCACAGCTTCACATCTTCTTCAACACACTGAGTACTAGATGCAGTTGTACACCAGAATGTGTTCTGGTACAAGACGGAGTCTTATCTTGATTAGATGAAAGAGGTCAAATGTTGACCTTTTAAAGGAAATCAACACACTTCCTGTTGAGGGGGCATGGCTTTGGTGATGTCAGCAAATGAATATGTAAATGGGTTTAAGTCTGGTCTGTGATGATACCCATGAAGTTTGAGTCTGCACTGATCATACATGTGGGAGATATGAAACCAATAAGTTTCAGGGCGATGGGTCAATATTTGAAGTGTGGTCACACCCACACATTACATATTTGAAAAAGCTATAGGTTTAGTTAGCGTACCTTCAATGTGTGGAAAAACACAAAATGGCATACTTGGACCAAAATGGCTGACTTCTTGTGGGATATGGATCATGGCTCCAAGAGAGTTTTGTAGGTCCCGAGACATTACCTAGGTGTACAAAATTTTACAATTCTCAGTGAAAGAATGGCTTGGGGCTGGCACTTTTAATGGACCTGGGGGCTCTATAGCAAAAAATAAGCTATTTGCACTGTATGTGCACGTTAGCTATTGCTTCTTTCAGTTTACAAACCTTGGCTTGTACCTGCAGTTCTGGTTGTTGCCACAGTGATATCAAAATGGATGGAGCCTGCAGCGAACTGTACTTATCAAGATGTATTGGAAATTTACCGAGGATTTTAGTGGACGATGTTCATCGCATTGTAAATTACTTTTCATCTGCTCCACAAAGTAAACGGGAAAAGGGGTTCAAATTTTATATTTCCCAGTATGTGCACAATTACGAAGGTGAGTACACACCAATGTTATGCTAGCTAGCTAGCTCAAACTGAAGTTGGGGCTTATCAAATATGTTTTGTTAAATCTCTTTAGGAGCCATAGTTGCAATATTGTGACATGCAACCACTAGTTTAATTACAGCTTTATATAAGTTCATTTGTCCAGGGAGAAAGAAAGTGATGAGCCATCAGCGCGCTGTAAAAGCCACTCCCGTTCGCCATGACAACCATAGACAACAACAAGCCACACATACCGAGATCTGATGCTGAACTCATCCTCACTGAACGTATAAATGGCTACAAATCTGCGGAAATTTAAATATACCAGAGGAGCTAACATGGCTACTGGTAGGCCCGACACCCTTTCAGGCCAGAGCTTGGGTAAGCCCCGGGAGGACTCGCCTCCGACCTCGCCACAATGCAGCGATATGGACGTTCTGAAGTCTGAGATTCTCCTGGCTCTGAAAGCTGACATTTCAACCGTCATAAAATTGGAACTAAAGAACGCTCTGGCAGAGGTCTTTGCCTATTTAAAAGGCGAACTCCAAGATGTAAATAACGAGATTAAGAACTGTACGGCTGCCCTTCACGGAGAAGTTGACCAGGTGAAAGCGGAGATAAAGGAAATGCAAGATGGCCTGTCTACGTGGTCGGATGAGGTGATGTCGCTGCAAAATACTGTGAAGGGTCTGAATAAAGAGCTCTCGTAACTAAAAGAGAGGTGTGAAGATATGGAAGGACGTATGAGGAGGTGCAGCATCAGAATCCTGGGTGTCCCGGAAACAGCCGGCTCCAGCTCTACAGCGGTGGTAGATAAACTTTTAATCCAGGTGCTTCACCTTGACAAGGACCCGACAATCGATCGCTCGCACCGGGGCTCGGGCAGGAGAAGTGGAGGAGAGCGACCGTGAGTCATCATCGCCAAGCTGCACTACCACCAAGAATGCATGAAGGTACTGTGCAGGGCCCGCAATCGCACTCCGCTTCGTTTTAACGGAGAGGCAGTGGCGATCTTCCCTGATTACACCACAAAGGTGGCCCAAGCCAGGGCTG